CAAAATCGCTTAGGCGGTTACAGCGCCAAAAAAGAAGAAGAAGAAGATAGGATGTCATGTAATGTGTTGTCATATCCTCTGATGTCATGTCATATGATGTCATACCATATGATGTCATATCATGTGATGCCACGTCATGTAATGCCATGTCATATCATACGATGATATATCATGTCACGTCACGTCATGTGATGTCTCTTCATATCATGTGATATAATGTGATGTGATGACATTTAATGTGATCACATTCCATGTTCCGATATAATGGATAACCCTGTTGATAACTGTGCCGATAAAAATACCGATAACGATATCCATAAACATATAGAAAAATACAACGATTGCAAAATCGATTAATTCATCGATAAATATAACAATCATCAGTATCGATTATTGTACATATCGACAACAATAAATATCAATTATTTAATCGATTATTATACCGATAACAATATCCATTATTGTATCGATAACAATATAGATTATTATATTGATTATTATATCGATTACAATAGCTGTTATTTAATCAATAACAGTGTCGATAACAACATCGATTATTTTATCGATATCAATGTCGATTATTATATCGATAAAAATATCGGGATTATATCGATAACAATATCGATCTTCATCCTCATCCTTTTCTTCATATTTATCTTTATTTTTGCATATTCCTCTTCACCTTTACCTTAAAGTGTTTACATTTGCTTTGATCTTCGTTTTTTCCTGTACCTCTAGGCATCTTTGTTTTTGTTTTTATTCTCAGAGCGCTAAATCGCTGAGAACCATTTCCATGTGCATTATTCCCCTTGAATTTGACAATTTACTCCCAACCAACCAACTGCCGCTAAAGAAGTTTACTTCATAAATTCAAGAAATGTTCTTACCCTTTTAGTTACCCTAATTCTTATGCATCTGTCATTGTCTCCATTTTCGTGTTTTCTTCACTTTTGCCCTTTTTTTGACTTCATCGTTCTCATTTATTTCTTCATCTTCATATTTATCTTTATTTCAAAGCTTAATTTCAAATGTGCAGTGAAACAACAGGCGAAACATGTCAAATTGAACATGTTGCAGCAACATCTATACACAATTCGAAAATGTTTAAACAACGACTTTGGCCGTAATTTTCAACCAATTGTGAAACCACAAAAACTCTGCTCATATACGGAAAAATGGCTTTCCAACGGTGCTCTTGGTTTTGAAATCGGTTCGGTAGAATCGCCAAACGAACGGAGACAAAATTTATGTTAGCGTATTAATATATAGATATGCAATTATGTAATATTATCTCTGGAATAACTAAATTAAAATATTTTATGCTTATAATGTATGAAAGTGTTATAATTATATTATCATAAACCTTCGCGATTATATAACTGGATTTCGAAAGTTCAAGATCAACATTTGATAATATTTTAAGCATAGGAGCAGATGGAATTTTATTTTCAACGAAATTT